AACAATTTCAATTAAGAAAGGGGAGATTAGAGGGGAAGGCAAAAGAGACTGTGAGCACAGGCAACTCTGTCAAGACACCTAGTTATGAAAAGGATAAAGAGAATATAGAAACTATAGGGATTTGTAATTGAGTGCAAGTTTTTGTTTTTGCTTACCTATGTTTTCTGAAAGGAAGAAACTACTAGAGAGCAAAGGAGGTATCAACAGAAGAGGTCCCCGTTGTAACAGGGGATGGAATGCAAAGCATGAATGAAAGAGTATCTTTCAACAGAGGAGAAAAGAATACCTCTATACACCTTAGAGTGTATATAGTTTCTGCTCCATAAGTTTATGTAAGTTCTTCTAGAACAGAAAAATTATGTAAGTTCCAAATCATCTATACACCAAAATTTCAACAGTGGTGTTCTCTGTGGGATGGGATTACGGTCTGTATTACTTTATTATTCTCTTTGGCACAGAAAATTTAAGAAGCAAAGAAAAACAGAAAGGGGAAAATACCCATACACTCACCAATGAATTGCTTTCATAGTTTAAGAAGTTTATAAATGGCAGTTGCAATACACTTAAATTAACATGTTCTCAGAAAAAGGGACATTAATGAGAACACTGCAATGGAATAATACAAAACTTAAAATGGCTCTTTGACTGATTTAAATGTAGAAGAAAAGTGAAGTCCAGTCTCCTCTTAGCTACCTAAGTCTGTTATAAAAGAGAATTCCCAAGTATTTGGGACTTACTAATTTAGAACTAAATTTTCAATACTGCCTTCCTTTCTGGCTATTAAATATTTTTTTGCTATTTATTTAGTTGTAAATAAAATCTACTACTAACATTCATGCTCACTGGCACCAATTTTTAGAATGGAAAATTTAAACAGAGGCTTACAGTTGTGGTAAGTTTGGTCTAACAAAGGGATCATTTTCTGCTCCGTTGACTGCTTTGTTTTTCCTTTGTTTTGGTTCAGAATTGGTAGAGGGTGCCTGAGAATTATTAGCTGTGGGAGGTTTGCGTTTGGCTAGAAGTTTCCTTTGCCTTTCAATATCTTCTCTTTGCTGATTCACCCATTCTTGTTGCCTGTGTAAAAATAAATAAAAACATTAACTTTCCATTACCTTTCACAATTAAAACAGGAAAAAAAATTATTTAAAAACATAAAAATCATGTGAATTATAACCTTTTGATACTACTCTTGTTAACCAACTTACAGAAATCATTATCTATTTTATCCCATTGTATCCATTTTAGGTACTCAATAAATAGTTGTTAAATGAAATAAAAGAATGAGCTTAAAAAAAACAAAGAAAGTAACAAAGTATGGGATATATTTTATACATGTATCTCATCACTTAGGATTTGCAGACCAGCTTAGAACAGGCAAATATGCATTTAGTACGAAAAATATTATTGTCTAAATTTATCTCTGCTAAAAAGATATTTTAGGAATAAAACAAAACAGTTATTTTGAAATGAAACCAAAATTGGCCTTAATATAAAAAATTCATATGGGGGGGGAGAATTTTGACAATTTAAGGAAAGGAAACAAGAAAACAGCAAGAACATTTACTCTGCTTTCAAGAATGAGCAATTAATATAAATAAAATTAATGCTTCCCCTTCAAGAAGCAAAAACAACTTTGCAAATAGTGCACTTACACTAAAAACTAATAATAGGCATCATGTCTACTATTAAAATATAGATCGAAGATTTTAGCAGTTTGACCAGGGTATTAAATAGATTACAGTGAAGCTTTTTATTTTTTATTTTTATTTTTTTTTTTGAGACAGAGCCTCAAGCTGTCCCCCTGGGCAGAGTGCCATGGCATTACAGCTCACAGCAACCTCCAACTCCTGGGCTCAAGCGAGTCTCCTGCCTTCGCCTCCCAAGTAGCTGGGACCACAGGCGCCCGCCACAACGCCCGGCTATTTTTTGGTTGCAGCCGTCATTGTTGTTTGGCGGGTCCGGGCTGGGGATTCGAACCCGCCACCTTAGGTGTACGTGGCTGGCGCCTTAGCCGGTTGAGCCATAGGCGCCGAGCCCAGTGAAGCTTTTTAAAATTAACCTGTTGTAGAACACTTTAAGCTTGTTCTAATAGTAACCATGTTCCCTTTTAGGTCATCTTACCATGCCAAGAAAAAACTTTAAAATCCCATGTGGTTAAATTTAGATTTAAAGCAAGTCAAAAGTTTCATTCTTTCATCTCTTCTCCCTCCTCTCAACACCATTTAAACCAGAATTATAGAGCTCCTACTCTGCTGATAAAGAATCAGCCTTACATATATTCCTTTCCCTAGGTTTCTAGTGAGGGAGCAGCAGAGTAAGGTTAAGAGTGAAGACAAACAAGAACAATCTAAATAGAAGAGTAAAAGGATAGAGACATAAAGTAACAACAAGACTTTAGCTTTCATTTGCAAGTGGGAATAAATAATTTCAATTATTTTTTTAAAAGTAAATTTTAAGGCTTTAAAAAAAAAAAGCAGTAATAACCTTGATGATTAGAATCCTAATGGAAAGTAAAGAATTTCTGGAATAGATATGTTGCAAATACCTAATTATTCATGAATGACCATATAGTTGAGATGATGATTAATATTAATTTTTATTTATTCCTTTCTCTTTTTGTCCTCTAACCACTTCGGGTTATATCACTGATTATAATATATGTATATGTAACAATACACAGTAGGTCCCCAATAAATGCTTATCAGTGACAGTAGAGATAAGCGAATAATTTTGTTCTTTTCTAACAGCTCAGTGGAGCAACTGTAACTACTGGCAGAATTTATATTTTAGGTCATGCATATTAATCATGTAACCCTCTTTTATTCATTGCAGGACAACTGCAGGTCTGGGTTTAGTAGCAGAGGTTCCTATTCATAAAACACTCAAAAATGTGGATTCTATCTCAAATCTTCTCTTGCTCTCCGCTTTTCTGTCTGTATTTTAGCTAGAGCTTTAATCACCTTTCATCTGGAAACCCCTCCATCTTAGCCGTCAACAATTTACCTGCTTTCCAGTACTATTTCCACATTATCATCATAACTATTCTACAACTCAGTTCTGTTCATTTAGAGTTTATATACCCTAAATGTATAAACCTTGAATAGGTCTCATATTTGCAGAACTAAAATCCAAACTCCCTACCAGCACAAGGACACTGTCATTCATTGTGGTGTACCTAACACTTAGCATAGCTGTGTTGAACAAAACCCAAATAAATCTGCTGAGAGAGAAAGAGAGAAGCCCATTTTATTGCAAGTCCTGGGAACCCGAGTTGGAACAGCAATGTTAATGTTATACCACATGAAATAAGCTTTGCCTTTACTTTAGGGTGACCAGATGTCCCGCTTTTGGCAGGACAGTCCCCATTTTTAACAATTTGTCCCACAGTGTTTTAAAAAAGTCCCGATTTTTGGAAAGAATGCACAAACGGGTGGGAAAATAGTAAGGGAATATACGGTTTTCAGCTGCCATGTGGCTATTTCCCCCAGGATATGAGTTTTATATTATTTTTGTTAATTTTATAATGTTAAACTGTAATAATAACAAATAATTGTTGAGAAGAGATTATCGAGAACTGCTTATCAAAGTTTGCATTGTTGTCAGCCCCCCCCCCCCCGTCAATGCACTTTACCAATGTTAAAATCTGGTCACCTTACTCTACTTCAAATAACTGGATTGACATCTGCTAATGTAGATGCCGCCACTATTCCTGATTTTCAGCTTTTTACAAATCGTCCAGCAAAGAAAAGGAACAGCATAGGTCCTGCCTTCTTAACACATAAATAGTTAGCCAATCTTTACCTACTACCACATGAAGTCAAGAAAATATGGTAACAATGACTTCTTTGCTTTAAAGTTTACCTTAGAAATGCTAAAGCCTAATAGCTGAGTGCCTGTAGTCCCAGCTACTTGGGAGGCTGAGGCAAGAGAATCACTTAAGCCCAAGAGTTAGAGGTTGCTGTGAGCTGTGACGCTACAGCACTCTACCCAGGGTGACACAGTGAGACTCTTGTCTCAAAAAAAAAAGAAATGCTAAAGCCACATATTCAGTTCAACTGACTTATGGTTTACTGTCTATGAGGCAAAAGAGAAAAGTTCTTTTCCTTAAGAAGAGATAGCAGGCAAGGGTTAAATATTAACATTTAAAGATTAGGGAATGAGAAAAAATACTAAGTAGTAAAAATCCAGTAGCTCTCTCTCATCCTCTCTCACCTCTCTCAAAAGGTGTCACACAGACACCTTTCGATGAAATTAAATTTTTAACAACTCTCTCCCAGAATATGATCTATAAAGATGAAGATTCAGTTTATATTTTGGAAAGTCTGATTTAGAATAATATATTATCCTATATAGGTGAAGGCTAATTAATCAAGAAGCTATAGCTAACATTATAATATCCCTGTTTTATATTCCTTTCAAATGTATACTAAATTCTATGATTTCAAAGAGTAGTGAGGAGATACAGAACATTAATTCCAAATCTATAATCTTTTAAAGTAATGAAAACCCAAATGACTATTAAATTTTTTAAAATGTAAGAAATGACTAACTTCACAAGATTCTGAAATGCAAAACCATCTGTCCACTGTTCAGTAAATGAAGCTCCATGTCTAACTGTTGTGAAGTGCCCCAGGCGTAATCTATCTTGCATACTCTTCTCTCGGCTTGACAGTTTTTCTTGTGTACTCTGGAAAAAAGGAGGGAAAAAAATCAATTGTATTCATTTAAATTTTAAATGGGGCAAAGGAAGCTTGTAAAGAGGAATGGAAAACCTACTAAAGTTTTAACTTACCTTTTCAATAAGAAGTTTCTTGCTCATTGATATACACTTATTTAATCGTTCTTTGTATTTTTCAAGTAATTTTTGTTGTTCATCTATCTGCCGTCTGAGATCACAGTTAGCCTACAACATAAGTAGAAAATGCAAAGTGTCTAGAATTTATATATATGAAAACCTTAGAAGTATTTCAATGTTTTGATAAATGATGAACAGATAAGATGAATGATACTAAATATCTGAGTATGATACCAAAAATAAAAAGCCTTTCTTACCATGGGATAATACTGTTGAACTTTACTTAACTCCACAGTGGAAAATACATGGAATTTGTTATCTATGCTCCACACATTCAAATCCACACTTAAGATACAATAACTTTGGCTAAGCTACGTAAGCTATCAGAAAATTTCCATTTCTAACAAGTTCTCCAGTAACACTGACATCTGTGGTCTGGGATTATGATTTGAGAATTACATGTCTAGGGCAATCATAGGAGAAGCCAAAAGACAAGGGCATTACCATCTCCACAGTGGAACTATCAATCTAAAATTATATATGTAATAAAATTATTTTCCAAGGAAGGAAACAGATTTCTGCATCAACATACTCTCAACATTAGGTGCAATTCAAACAAAACCCCAAAGTGTATGTGTATAGTATGTATGTGTATAGCTTGGAAAACTGACTACAAAACTTCTCTAGGACTACAAAGGGCCAAAAATAAACAAAAATGAAGGCAAGCATATTTGTTCAACTATCACAACTTAATATAAGGCTACCACATTTATGATCACCCAAATCCTCTTCTTCCTTAATGGAAATGCACTGCTTTACCCTGGACTGATACGTGCCCAACTAAAAGACTACATTTTCTAACTTCCCTTGAAACTAAACATCATCAGTGAGATATAAGCAGAAGTTGTTCAGTGGAATACCGAAGAAGGCTACACACAGAATTGTGCTTTTTGTTCTTCCCTTCCTCATCCTGTCTTCTGCTTAGCACACAGACTTCATAATTGTGACTATAACAGGTATAAGGAACCTTGATGTGACCTTGAAGATGGAAGCCATGGACTACAATAAGGACATAGGAAAAATGAAGGAACCAAGGTCATGCATGATACTGTGGAACAATCATACTTGGGCTGCCCATGTCTCTTCTCTTGAAAAATAAACTTTTATCTTATTTAAAGTACTGCTATTTATGTTTTCTGCTACTAACGAACAACCAAAGGCAATCACTAAATGATGAAAAGATACTACAATACCTGTGGAGAGAAACACAAATAGGACAATAGAACACATAAATAGATCCTTGTAAATGAAAACAAGATTTTATGATGAAGTTGACGTGTTAAGAATGAATTTTTAATTAAGGCTGAACAACTGGTTACCTCTGTAAAGAAATTAAAATGAAATCCTACTTAACGCCAGAACCCAAAACCAATTCCAGTGAGATTAACAGCCAGACTACAAAACTTTCAAACAAGAATACAGAACATATTTACAAATCTTAAGACTTAAAACATTAATTCTTTTGATATATCTTTGCTAATAATTTAATATAAGCAAAACAAACTACAGTAAAACCTCCATAGTTGACCACTTCCTTCAGTTGACCTAATATATTTATTTTGTGGAAACAGAACCTCACATTGTGTCCTCAGTAGAGTGCTGTAGCATCACAACTCACAGCAACCTCAAACTCTTGAGCTCAAGCGATTCTCTTGTCTCAGCTTCCCGAGTAGCTGGGACTACAGGTGCCTGCCACAATGCCCAGCTATATATATATTTTTTAAGAGATGGGGTCTCACACTTGCTCAGGCCAGTCTCAAACCTGTGAGCTCAGGCAATCCAACTACCTCGGCCTCCCAGAGTGCTAAGATTACAGGCATAAGCCACCGCATTGGGCCTCAGTTGACCTAATTTTCATAGACTGGACATGCACCCATGTCCATATCAGTACAGCAGGCCTAGCTCCTTACATTGATAACCTCTGTATATTGACAAGTTTGTTACAGTACCTTAGGTGGTCAACTTACAGAGGTTCTACTGCATAAATAAAAATATATATTTAATCATGTAAAAATTAAAACTGTATTTAATCATCAAAAGACAGCATGAAGAAATGAAAGACAACTCACAAACTGGGAATAAATAACATATATGACCAAACAAATGACGGCACTGGTAAGAAAAAGACAATCCAATAAGCAAAATGGGCAACAAACAAAGTTATTTCATGAAAGAAACACAAATAGTTAATAAATATTTTAAAATATAGTCACAACCAATTAGTAAAAAAAGAATTCATAATAAAACCACAAGGCACTGTTATATCCATTAGATCAGCCAAAAGTAAATTTTTTTAAGAGAATGTTATTCTACCAAGCCCCGGCAAAGACAATGAGCAATAGGACTTTTTTTCTGGCTCACCGCTCATCCAAACACTTGAGAAAAATTTGGTACTAGTAAAGCGAAAGATGTGCATGCCCTGTACTATGGCCCTGTTTTCCCTAAGCATGTACCATAGAGCAAGTATTGTACTTTTGTCCTAGAAGTCATGTATAAGAATATTCTTACATTCATAGACCGTCTTACTACTTAGCAGTCAAGTGGACAAACTATAGTTATTTTGTTTGTTTGTTTTTGAGATAAGAGTCTTCTTTTGGTACCACAGCTTATAGCAACCTCAAACTCTTGGGCTTAAGCAATTCTCTTGCCTCAGTCTCCCAAGTAGGTGCGATGACAAGCACCTGCCACAACGCCCGGCTATTTTTTAGAGACAGGGTCTTGCTCTGGCTCAGGTTGGTCTCAATCCTGTGCGCTCAAGCAAGCACCTGCCTTGGCATCCCAAGTATTGGGATTACAGGCATGAGACACTGCGCCCAGCCAAACTACAGTTATTTACATCAATGTGATGACTCTTCCACATAAAATGCTCAGTAAAAACAAGCAGGGCGAAAGGGTCCATAAGGATAATTTCACTTAAGTTCAGAAACAATCTAAAATAATATACTGTTAAGAATATATGAACATAATTAATACAACCATATAGAAACATTAAGAAATGACAAATTCAGTATTTAGAATATTGGTTAAAGATAAAAGCGATCTGAAAGAGTCAACAAAATGAGATCAGAAAAGATACACTGGATCACAGATGTTGGTTTTACTGACTATCTACATAAGTGATTCTCAATACTGCCTTAAATTAGAATCATTAGGAGTTTTTAAAATTACCAATCCCCCAAACTCACACGAATCAACTAGATCAGAACTCCCCCACGTTAGAGTTCAGGCATTAGCACATCCACTCTTTCCATCTGGGAATTCTAAGAAGCAACAAGGGGTAAGAACTATCGCTTTAAACCTCACTCTCATTTATAAGCACACTTCTGGATATATTTTTTAATGAAGTTTCCATTAAAAATCTCATGCAATCACAGCAGTTACTTCATCCTTTATAGTACTAAATGCCATATATGTAACAAAATCATTTAACTTTTAACACATTAACTGACACGTGAGATGTATTTAACTTAAGCTAGTTTTGAGCCCCAAGGCCTCATGAAAGCATATAGTATTAACTCAACTGTCTCTTGAATACTGACTACCACACCAGAAAAAAATATTTTCTCCTTGGGGCCACAGTGTTTTCTTAGTTCAAGATAGGTCAAAGGAAGTGTGAGTTATATATGCTTCACAAAGCCCTGGGTTCAAAACTAGCATTGAGTTAAATACAACTCACACAGCAGTTTATGTGCTTGACCAATAAAACACCCTGGCCCCAAGGGGAAAATTTTTTTCTAGTGTGGCCATCAATGTGTTAAAAGATAAAACTGCTGTCTATGGTACTTGGTCATATAAAAATAAATTTTATAAACTTCTAGTTTTTCCAACTGTTTCTACATTTACATTTAAAGATCTAATAAAATATTTTCACTTTCAAGTTGGTATTTTCAATAACGTACTTATACTACAAGAAAAAAACTTATTATTTTCCAGCTATAGAAGTTTTCACAATGCTAATGTTTTCAGTGGTTTCACTGTTGACAAATAATTTATTCAAAATTTTTCCATCCATAAATCATTACTTACCCTGAGCAAATCATCTATACGACCTTCCTTCTTTTCCAGATCCTGGTTTTTATTACTTTCTAATGCTGCTAATTTCAGCATTGTGAGATCAGTCTAAACGAAAGAAAGTTATTTTATTATCTCTATTAGAAATGCTGTTGCACACAAACAAAAAACTGGATTTTACCCAGACTTCAAGAAGAATAATATATACACTTGTGTGTATATGTAAAGAGTATTCCAAAAAGCTTAGTGTGATTTTAAATGTATATTTTAAAATTATATTTTATTTTATTTATTTATTTTTTTGAGACAGAGCCTCAAGCTGTCACCCTGGGTAGAGTGCTATGGCATCACACCTCACAGCAACCTTCAACTCCTGGGCTTAAGCGATTCTCTTGCCGCAGCCTCCCAAGTAGCTGGGACTACCGACGCCTACAAACACCCGGTTATTTTTTGGTTGTAGTTGCCACTGTTGTTTGGCAGGCCCGGGCTGGATATGAACCCATCAGCTCTGGTGTTATGTGGTTGGTGCCTTAGCTACTTGAGCTACAGGTGCTGTGCCTAAAATCATATTATTATTTTTTTTTTATATTTATTTAGAGACAGAGTTTCACTTTATTGCCCTCGGTAAAGTGCTGTGGCATCAAAGTGCTGTGCCACAGGTCACAGCAACATCCAACTCCTCCTTACTCTAGCCTCAGCCTCCCAAGTCATGGAACTACAGGTGCCTGCCCCAACGCCTGGCTATTTTTGTTTTGTTGTTGCAGTTTGGCTGGGGCCGGGTTTGAGCCCACCACCCTTGGTATATGGGGCTGGCGCCCTACCTACTAAGCCACAGGCACCACCCTTAAAAGCATATTTTAAAAGTATACGCAGGCTCCATATACCAAGGGTGGCGGGTTCAAACCCAGCACCAGCCAAACTGCAACAAAAAAATAGCCGGGCATTGTGGCGGGTGCCTGTAGCCCCAACTACTTGGGAGGCTGAGGCAAGAGAATTGTTTAAGCCCAGGAATTAGAGTTGCTGTGAGCTGTGACACCACAGTACTCTACCGAGGGCAATAAAGTGAGACTCTGTCTCTACAAAAAAAAAAGAAAAAGTATAAACGATATGAACTTACCAAGAAATATTTTAAAAGGTTAATTATTTAGAGTATGGCTGTTTCTCACTAAAATTCAATATGTCCACTGCTCTGTGCTATATTATCACTCTGGTTGACCTTTAAACTTTGCTAAGCCTTTAATAACAACTTTTTTTTTCAGACAGAGTCCCACTCTGTTGCCCAGGCTAGAGTGCCCTGGCTTCAGCTTAGCTCACAGTAGACTCAAACTACTGAGTATGAGCAATCCTCCTGCCTCAGCCTTCCATGTAGCTGGGACTCTAAGCACGAGCTACAATACCGGCTAATGTTTTCTATTTTTAGTAGAGATGGGGACATGTCCTTGCTCAGGCTGGTCTTAAAATTACAGAGATCAAGCAATCTGCTTACCTCAGTCTCCCACAGTGCTAAGATTATAGGTGTGAGCCACTGTGCCCGGTCTAAACTATTTTTTAAACTGATAAGTAAAAACTGTATATATTTATGGTGTATAATATGATGTTTTTATACATATACACACTGTGGAATGGCTAAATCAAGCTATTTAATACCTACCTATCATTTTTTGTGGCGTGAACACTTAAAATCTACTCTTAGCAATTTTCATATACAGTAAAATCTCTGTAAGCTGAGCACCTAAGGGACTGTAACAAACCAGTCAATGTAAGAGGTGGTCAACATAAGAAACTAGGCCTACTGTATTGGACGTGGTGCATGTCCAGTCCATGAAAATCAGGCCAACTTAAGGAGGTGAATGTAGGTAGATGGCCAAATATGGAGGTTCTACTGTATACATAACATTATTAACTGTAGTCACCAAAATGTACAATAGATCCCTTACCACTACTCCTTCTCTAACAGAAATTGTTTGTCCTCTGACCAACATCTCATGTAGCAAAACCTTTCATAAGCTGCTCAGGGACTCTGTAATCCTAGACACAAGATTATCCAGAGGTTCTGATACATGCATAACAGTTTGGACGTAACCCCAAAAATAAAGTCTAATGAAAATACACTGGCAAGTTGAGGCAGTCAGGCAAAAGATCTACTCTCTCAGTCCTCAGTCAGAGAAAAGAGTCATCCAGAAACTGCCACATGTAAACAATTAAATTCATGAAAGCAACTAAGGATAAAAGATACTCAAATTTAATTTTCATATTATCTAATTTGTAGCATACATACACACTCTCATAAATATAGGCACTCAAATGAATTACTTTAATGTCCTCTTATCGCAAATGTAACAGTCTTAACAAAGGCTTCAATTATATATATATACCTGGATGTTATTTGACTTGCTTAAAACATCTAAATATTTGCCAGTGTGTAACAAAAGACAAGCTGACAGTAAATTGAGTGTTTAAATTTTTCAACCCTCCCTGCAAATTGTTTTTCTTTTTTGATGTATAATTTGTATAAAACAAACAATATACATTTTAGTTCTTAGTACAAGGTTGGTCAGTGGTTTCTGAGAACTCACAGAAAAAAAATTTAAGTATTATTTACCTGAGTAATTTTAAAGGATAACTGCTTTGGTTGTACAATAGGGTGGTCCCCAAAAGCTAATGCAGTAGGAGAAGGGCTATTCGGTCGAACCTAAAAGAACATATTAGAATTCTTACAGTAGAAAGAAAAAAGAAGTAGGCTTCTATTTAGCAACAATTACTTAATGTTTCTTAAGTTGTTTCTCTCAGGATAATACCTGAACTGAAACATAATTGACTTTTCAAAGCTTTTAATCACCATTTACCCTACAAGCATTCACTGAATATCTTCTACCTACGGCCTAGAGGGAGATACACCCATATATTCCCCGTTCCTCGTGGAGCTTATATTCTAGTGCCATGGAAGAAATCTTAAAAGCTTTCACACTATTAAGCAAAACAAGGATAAACTATTCTAAAACAAAAATATTAAAAACCAATTATGAGGGCAGCGCTTGTAGCTCAAGAAGTAGGGCACCGGCTCCATGTACTGGAGGTGGCAGGTTCAAACCCGGCCCTAGCCAAAAACTGCAAAGAAAAAAAAAATTATGATAGTTCAAGAAGTAAAAATAAAAAAACATTAATACAGAATCTTAGTACTAGGGACAATAATGCAAATCCACACATAGTTTAATATCAATTTGCTGGTAAGTTTCATGGTTTATTCGGTCACTAGCTTAAAGATAAACTCATCATAAGCAGATTACAACACTGTATCAATGTTATTCCTACAACTCTTTATCAAGTTATTGTTCTTATCTTATGCCTTACTTTGAACATGGCAATGTGATGTGCCTGAAGGTACAAAATGGGTAAGAAATCATCAAATGTGTCCTACAAATAAGGACTAGAAGGGAACAAAAGAAATGAAAACAAGCCACTTGAAGAAGTGTGACTCATTTTTAAAACTTTTACCTGTAAGTTACTAAAAAGCAGTATTGTTTTTCTGGTTAAACACTGAACTTGCACACAAGGAAAGTAAACCAAAAAGGAATCCAATATGCAGAACAATACATATAAAAGATCTTAAAATGTTAGAAATAAACCAAAAAGGAATAAGATAATTTGTAGTCCAAGATTCTTCTACTATGCTGAACTACACAGTCTGCCTTTTTTCTTAAGGATTCCTAGACAAAAAAATTATTTTATTTTAATGGTTAAGAAATTTAACTGATTAGAAAGTTAGAAATTAGGAACCAACAATTGAAGCAGGACAGATACAAAAGTATTCATGTCAGTCCCACAGACTCCACAGCGTTCTTTTACAAAAATAGTAATTATTAAATATAATTAATTCAAGAAACCTTTAAGAAGCTCACTTTCAGAAATAAAGTTCTAACAACATCAAATTAAAAAGGATTCAACTTGGGTGGCACCTGTGGCTCAAGGGAGTAGGGCACTGGCCCCATATACTGGAGGTGATGGGTTCAAACCCAGCACCAGCCAAAAACAAACAAACAAAAAAACCCAAAGATTCAACTCACCTTACAAAAAGATTTTTTTAAAGAAAAACACTGTGTAGCAATTCTCAATGAAACAACAAATCATAAAAGTTATCCAATGTACATAACCTCCCAGACAAAGAATGCACATGAACAACTTGAAAGATAAAAACTTACAGATGAGGAAGGAGTGGAATGTGAATGTGAATTTTGAGGAGAACGGATTGCAGGAGGTATGCCTCTTACTGGACTTGAGCCATTTCCACCCTGGTACTAGAAAAAGGAAACACCATTACTTATTAAAGCAGCTTAGATACTTGTTATATTAGACATGGCATTAAGAATTATCTTATTTTAAATTAAATCAAATAGTCATTTAAATGGTTCCAGAAAAAGCAAAACTAAGTTCAATTATAGACAAGCCTTAAAAGACTAATAACAGAGTACTCATAACAAGAACATGATGAAGCTATATTTTATAAAGGTCTTTACTATACTACGTTCTGACTATAATTTGTTATTACGGCGACTCAAAGACAAATTCCCCAAACTGAACTTTGTTTTTCTCCTAAATCTTAGCAGTTCCCCTATACACATTTCTTGAGCCAATATGGTCCCTAATCCCAAAACACATACAAATGTTTACACAAAGATCTTAATGAATATAATCAACTATCTTAAATGACTCATCTTTCTTAAGATCTGAAGGTTCATGGCATTATATGAAAGAGATATAGAATGAATTCTCTTTTCCTTAAAAGGACAAAAATCTTTAAAAAATCAATTATTTCTTCTAAAATGTATAATTTAGATGCATAAAGAAGCCAACAAATCTGTTCCATAGCTATCTTTCCTCTTATCTCATGTTCTTACTAAGGATGGGAAAAGAAAACCATTTGCTGCTACTGACTTCCTCTGGGGTATAGTTTACTGTCTACTTCATTTTTTGTTTAACTTTGACATGAGCAGCAAAGATGTCTTTCTGACGTGTTCATGTAAAAAGTTCTGGTAACCTAAAGATTTTGCCTCATTATTTTACCTACAGAGTGCCTATCATAACACCTGGCACAGAGTAGGCATTCAAGAGATATTTGTTTATTCAAAGTGATCCTATCTTTGGCAAAGGTTTTTTTTTGGCTGGAGCTGGGTTTGAACCTGCTAGCCCTGGTATATGGGGCTGGCACCCTACTCCTTGAGTCACAGGCACTGCCCTTGGCAAAGGTTCTTAATGATATTAACGAATGACCCCAACTAAAGACCATCAGGTAGCCAGCAACGATTTTACCTTAGAAAAAACTTTACCCAAGAAAACAAGCAATGGAGGACTTAACAAATTATTTAAAAATTCGGATCTTTTGCTAATCGGCCAATTCTGGTTTTAATCTCAAGTAAATATAAGTATTTTTTTCAATTGAGTAGATTATGTTTGTTGTTTTAATAATCACATTAATGCTTCCTAATGGAAAACTGGTAGCCAAAGGTGTTTCTATGTAGAAGCAAGAAAACATTCCAGAATGTTATTCTTGGGTAAAAATCTAAATTTATCACTCTTTATTGTTTTCAGGGACTCTGAGATTCACATCTCTATCAATTATCTACTCCCCATCCATAGGATTCAAATGTTGCTGAGATGTGATAAAGACCACTTTGACAGTAAGAATTGTGAACTGGAGAATGGGTAGACTTAACTTCCACGCTTTACTCTTCCATTTAGAACCTGACATTAGGTAGTCTAATTCACATTTATGGTACCCAGTTTCACTTTGCTTATCTTAAGTTGTTATAAGCAAATATGTGAGGAAGTACTTTTAAGATTATGATGTGTCACTGTAATATAAATTTTAACGTTCCCAGGAAAAAAGAATACTACATAGTACTAAAGCTCTGCTCTAATCAAGCAGATAATCAAAAGTTAACCTTGTGCTTCAAAGTAATTATTTGTAGCTCACAGCAGAATTACACTGAATTAGGAACTAGAGATAATTTTCAATGAACTTACTTCAAAATAGTCACTAATTTTGTGGCCACGTCCTCCAATACTTTTTCCTAAAATATAAAAAACATATACATTAGTAGGGCAATGATAGGATTAAAAAAAAATTTAGAATCCTCTGAAGATCAGATACAAATTTCAGAAATCCAAAACTCAAATAACATTTCAATAGATGGACTCTGATACAGAGTCCAGAGTTCAGTTGGTACTGAATTACCAACTTGCTAAGAAAATACAGTGAGTAGAAACAATTTTTGAGGGAGAGGCAAGCATCTTTGATTAAAACTACCTACACAGAATACATGACTTCTTCAAGTTATAATAGAAAAATAAATAATGTTAGGAGTCAAAAGCTTTGCATAATATAGACATGTAATTTATCAATTCCTTATTGACTTACATTCATGCTTACATTTATTTTTATCAACAAATATTTCTGAAGTAGTTACTATGTGCCAGGCACTACTGAGATAAATAAACAATGTATTTAAAGGTTCAATAACTTTAAATTTCTTCTTGGAACAAGGTAGGGAGATTTTTTAAAAGACCAAACATATATTCAGGACTAAATTAAAAAAAGAACAAACAAATACTCAGGAGTATAAATGCTACCTAAAAATTTTGAAGAATGGTTTTATACAGATTTAAAGATCAGAAAGGACTACAAAGGTTTTATACCAAAGGAACTTTTGTCTATAATAATTTCTCTGCAGATTCTGAAGACATAGTATCTTCTAATGAAGACAGAGATTTTTTTTTATTGCCAGAAATTATATCCTCAATTCTTTTCCCCTAATTAAACCCAAATTTCATAGTGTTAACACCCTCTCCCCATATAGCACCTGTGTTTTCAGAGCAAGCTGTCTCCTATACAGAGCCTCCATTCTGAGTTCCCATTCTCTCCTTCTTATTAGAAATCCAATTTTGTTCAGGTATTATCCCTCCTCCACTAACCCTGTATTTTTAAGGAACTTTAAACCCATTTTGAATTTCAAAGATGGGCCTGATTTTTGTAAGGGCAATAGTACCTCTACTGGACCATAACTGGCTTTGGAATGGACACATGACCCAATCTGGACCATAGATGATAGGAAAGGTTTGCTTTGGGCTTAAAGAAACTTAATCCAAAGAAGAAAAGGGGTGGGGGAGACACAGAAAGCCAGTCCCTCTCCAAAAGAATTTAAGCAAGGAAGCTGAAAAGAGTATAAGCCCAATTTAGGTAAACATCTAAAAGCAGAAGATGATCAGACAATGCTGTGGATAGCAGACCACTAACAAACAAACAAACAAAAAAAAAATGAGTCCTTAAAACAGGTTGGATCAACCAATCCAGAAACCCCATCCTATGTGTGGGCTTGTTTTCAAGTTTATCTGTAGTTGAAACTACAGCAATTAATATATCTTTACAATAAATAAAGCTACAAATACACTATCCACAACTTTGGGGAAACCAGATTAGAAACAAAAAGGAGCTCCAAGCAAATGGAGAGACAAAGTACTATGTATTTAGAGAAAAAGAAATGAAATGACTCTTCACAAAGACAACTGCTGCAAATATATCCCTTGATTCCAGTGCCATATAAACACCAGTAAGCATGGCCCTAGATCTTACCACTAAAGACTGACTCCAACATATACTGAATAACATTGTGTCCATAATGTCTGTGTGCCATTTAAACTAAGTTTAAATTTTAAAATTATACACAAACTTTATGGACATACCGTATATCAAATCATCAATATACACATACATGCTTTAATAGGCCAACTTATTGTCTTTCATTTTGAGTGCCCAAATTAGAGTACTATTATTTTGTTGAGACATTATGAGAGATTTTATAGTCTAATGAATATAATCTTATTAGCTCATATCACAAAAGGTAGGTATGTTAAGAATAAAAAACAGGTATGAAAAGAAGATGGTAATTTCATTAGTCTCTCTTGATTATTTTTACATAGCTTTTTTTTTTTTTAAATAAAAGGGAGGAGTAAGTTTGGGTACGTTTTTGAAAGTGAGATTTAAAGGTTTTATTTAAAACCAAGAAGCCATTTCAATACCTTAATTTCTATAAAGAAAGAAAAATGAGAAGTGATGCTTCCCCAGATCTGGGCATGTTAGTCTTTCTAGGACCCAAATAAAAAATTAAGAGAAATGTCCAAATGCCTAAAAACAGTAATCACATACTAATTACATGTATGTGTAGAAAGACTGCATTTCATATTATTATTTAAGAATTAGAATATTAATTGGTTAAAAATCAGAACAATTAATTGTAAATGTCCACTGGGCTCTGAAAGAATACTATTTGCTTACCCTGACTACTTTCATTCTGGTTTTCTGCTTTTCTCTTTCTTCCCCTAGATGATTCCGATTGTTTCTTCTCTGGTGTCTACGGAAAAGCAAGATAACAGATTTTTAAATTACATTTTTAATATACAAAATCAGTACAGTCAACATAAAAATCATTTTTCTTTTTGAGGTCAAATAGTATACAACAGTGTCCACAAGATAAATGTATAGTTATTTATACACAATTCATTTAAAAAATAAAATTTCCTATTATGTAAATTTTAAAAATTCCAATTATAGAAGAGCCTGTACATACTACATGGAATTCTACATTTTCAGAATTTGACTTGAAGTGGATAAGAAATCTGAGAGTAATTTCCTTTACAGGATGTCCTTCATATCCCTAACTGGATACAGTCCAAATCATCATCATCATGATCATGATCATCATCATCATCATCATCTTAAGTTTCTCCTGTTAGTTTTCTACCACTCAAAAGTAGTTTTCTACTACTACTATGAAACAGAATTTTGCTGAGAAAAAGGGGGTAGAATACAAACCCTACATACACACACAATACCTACTAAAAAAGAACATTCACTCAAATGCCTAACAAGTATTATCCAACAGCAATTACACCAAATTCATAGATTAAGCCCTAGATGTGGGATGAGGGATGGGCCAAATCTGTTTGGATGTCTGGTCACCTGTTTTGTATCGCCTGCCCATAGCTTTTACATTTTTAAATGTCTGAAATTTTACAATTTAAAACAAAACGAATATTGCATATAAAAAATAGTTTGTTATATGAGAATTATAAGAAATTCAAATTTCTTGTCTATAATAAAGAACCCAGCCAAATTTGTTCATTTATGTACTATCTATAACTATCTAAACTGCTTTCACATTACAACAGCAGAATGCAGTAGCTGCAACAGTCAGTATGGCCCAGAAAGTCTAAAATATCTGGTCCTTTAGAGAAAAAGTTTGAAGACTCCTGCTCTAGATGGTGCTTTGGTCCCAAACTGCAGGTTTGTTCCTATAACAAACAGTAAAAATTTTCATTAGCCTAATACAAGTTAATTCTTGTAGACTACGACAAACTGATGTCTTGCTTAGTCAAAAATTAAAACCAAGACCAAAAGCACAAGGCAATGGCACCAGGTCCTCAAGTCCTAGAAGCCTAATTAAGTACTTCCAGTGTCAGAGTAAGGAATTCCATGAATATTTAACTAAATAAATTGATCACATTAGTTAACTTAAAATACATCTCTTAAGGTCCCAAACAAAGAAGGGATTCAATCAATATTTTTATGTCTCTGAATACTTCTATAACTAAATAGGATGAATGACAATACATAACCTAATTCTAATTGAGCATGTTTTCTTCCTCTAAGTATCACCACCTTGGGCATTTAAAGTTCTCTGATCTCCATTCTGCCAACAAGATAGCAAACTTTAGAGGTTGAACTGTACGTTACCAGTCTCTGAATTCTTTAAAGATAGGTAATATATCTTCTTCCCATCTGACCCTCCCATCCCATTACTAACATATTACTTGAAAATGCATGAATGATTATTAAATAATTTACTCAAGCTAACATACTAGTGTGGCAGGAAGATTCAAATCCAATTCAGTTAAATATAATTCCAACATAATCACATGCTCTTTACTTCTCCTCTGTGTGATATGGTGTATGCCCTACCCCATATACACCGACTAAATGAACCAACTATACAAAAGTATTTCAAATTTTACTATCTGTAAATAAAATATAACATGTCCAACAAATTGGTCCTATGTTTTCATTTCAGAAACCAGAGATTTTAAAGCCAGTTACTTGGGAGAGAGATTAATGTACCAGTAATGTAGGGTACATGGTTCATCAGTTGAGCTTCACTGTCAAAATTATCAAATTCAAACAATAATCGATTTTTTCTATTCCTAGAACTAAAAATAACCAAATAAGAACTCTAAATTCACAGTTGTATAAAGAACCCTAAATCTATCTTAAAACAAAAGATCTCTAAATAATAATTTATTCATATCCTTCCTAACTTTATGTAAAATTTAATGTCAAGAAAACATAATTTTTCAGCATAGTTTAACATTATACTAATTTCTCAGCATGGCAGGATCCCATTTGAATGCCATCTTAAATCTTCACTACTTTTAAATAAGCAAAAATACACATACACACAAAGTATTATATTAATTCTGGGACAGATATACTCGAAACCATATTTTGTAGTTAGAAAACCAAAGTGTAGGCTCAGCGCCTGTGGCTCAAGTGGCTAAGGCACCAGCCACATACACCTAAGGTGGTGGGTTTGAATCCAGCCCAGGCCCACCAAACAACAATGATGGCTGCAACCCAAAAAATAGCTGGGCGTTGTGGTGGG